CTGGGAAGCTGTGGAAGCCCGAACGGCGAAAATGCTAAAGATATGCGTGTTCCTGAGAGAATGCAGCGGTGTTTGCTTCTTGGGGCCCCCTTGGGAGGCCTCTTGGGGGCCTCGTGGGGCGTGTTGGGGTGCCTTGGGGCTGTCGCGGTGTCATCTAGGGCCGTCTTGGAGCTCTCATGGGGCGCTGTTGGGGGCCTTCGGGCCCAGTTGCAGGCTTTCTTGGGCGGTCTTGGAAGATTCGATTGCTTTCTGGGACCTCCAGGGGTCGCCCGGAATACAAAGGACGGGCCAGCCCGGGGCCCTGGGCCCGGGACCTCCCTTAATATATATATATATATATATATATATGTATATATATACACACATACAAGTACATTTATACATACAAACACATATATATATATATATATATACGTATACATGTACAACCACATACATACATACATATCTATATATTAATATATATATATATATATGTATAGACAGAGGAAGGGAGAAAAGAGAGAGAGACAGAGAAACAGCGAGGGTGAGGATGAGGATGAGGATGAGAACGAGGATGAGGCTGAGGATGAGCATGAGAGACGGAGGAGCAGGAGGAGGAGGAGAAGGAGGAGGAGAAGGAGGAGGTGGAGCGTGGCCGAAGAAGCGATTCCAACGAGTTTTACACAGCGCATCCGCGACCCCGATGCGCTGGAAGCCCCTGAAATAGACGAGAGGATGAAAAGGAAACGCTCCAGCGCGAACACGACAAGGGCCACCCAGACGCGGAGGCCGTGCCTGACGACAAGCACCTGCAGGCCAACCAGGTCGGAGCCCGAATGCCTCGGCCCAGGGGCCACCGACACCGCCAAATGCAGTGCGGGCCCGGTCGCAAGAAACCCTCGCAAGAAACCCAATCCTGGAAACCCGCGCGCGAGGTGCATCTGAGGGAAGAAACCGAGCATCCTCAACGAATCAGCTTCTTTGACGGCCGCGGGAAGTCACCGCGCAGCGCGCGGAACGAAGAAATCCAGGGCACCCTGACGAAACTCAGATGGTTTCTTGATGCGCGCCCCCACTGTATGCTCATCGATGTCGGGCTCAGGCAGGGCCGCCTCTGTGCTGTGCCCGAGCGCTGCAAGCAGCAGGTCGTGGACCTCTTCGGCGTCGGCCTGCATCGGCAAGAGCTTCCCGAACCTGCTGTGGCTGATGGGCCTCTCGCAAGAGAAGAGATCCGCCTGAGGCAGCTGGGCGGCGCTGCAGAAGCCACCGAGCCAAGCGGCAGCCTCCTGCCTGAGGCCACGCCAATCCGCCGCCCCTCTGAACGAGCAGAGACGCAGTCCCGACAGTGTCGGGGGTGGCCAAGAGGGAGGCGTCCAAGAGGGAGGGGCGCAAATCATGGCCGGCGGCATGTGCGCGGCCCAGGGGGTAGACAGGGACGTATTAAAATAAGACGAGGCGCCATGAAATCTGAGGAAATATCATGCCCCCGCCATGATATCCAAGCTCCCCCTAGTCATCACCCTCCTCTTTGCCGCCCCCGACAGTGGCGAGCCCGACCGAAGCGGCGTGTGGTGCTGCACACGGCGACGACGGCCACGACGGCCAGAGCTCGGCGACTGCAGGCCGAGGCGAAGAGGCGACCGCGAAGAGCTCAGCGCCTCGCTGAGCAGCGCCTGCCGCGCCTCGACGGCCTCGAAGGGGACGTCGAACTCCGCCCGGGAATCCGGCTACGGGGGAAGGAGTCCGCGAGCGCCCGCCTGGACTCGGGCCGCCCCCGGCTGGGCGAGCAGGGCCTCCGGCTCCTGCTCCGCGCGCTCCGGCAGTCCAACGACTGCAGCAGCTCGTGGAGGTTGCCCTCGGTACCCTGCATCACGCAGCCGCTGACGCTGGTACCGAGTCTGGCCCGTCCCTCTACGGGAGGCACATTCGAAAACAGCAGGACAGATCATATGGGGACGACTTGTGGTTATTTGAACAAAGTTTGAACATGTGTTTGACAAGTTCTTGTTTTTCGCCCCGGATCCGCCTGCAGGGGGGGCACGCCCGACCTAACGCTGGTAGAGAGAGAGAGAGAGAGAGAGTCCGTGTACTAGCCTGCAAAGCGGCAGAGACCAACTCGCGCACCAACTGGGACACGCCGCCAGCAACCTCGCGAAAGCCCGAAGCAATCCGCGAGTCGATCACCGACGGGAATTGTTGCACCTTGGCCTGCAGGTCGGACAACTCAGCCCGCATGTCGCAGTGAGCGCTTGCCTCCGACCTATCGTGCGAGTCCAGGCCGCTGAATCTGGCAGCGTATGAGAAACCATTGTCATCGTCCTCACCAAATCTTGTTGCCAGACAGCACTGAAGAGGAGGCGTTGGCGACCACTGCAGCCTCTCTCTGGCGGAGCTTGTCGAACGCGCCGTGCAGCTGCGCCACGGAGACGTGAACTGCTGCTCCACAGAAGCCCTTGGCAAGACAGCCGCTGGGCGTCGCATGTTGCCCCCTTGGCCTGCGCCCGCGCCTCGGGCGGGGATTGAGAACAGGGGCGGCTGGCCGCAGCCGACTGATGAGCGCATTTCCCACCACCCGGCGCCGCGCCGCAAGGCTGGTCGAGCGGGGCCCAGAGCAACCAGCGCCACACCTGGCTCAGAGAGGAGCTCCTCGAGCATCTTCGGAGGCAACTACTGGGAGGTTTTCGTCGGAAGGATCAAGGAGGATTCAGCCCCAGCAGGGGGGGCTGTTACGCCAGATTGGGCCTCGGATTAGGCGGGACTATAAGCAGGATTAGGCGGGGGCTGAGCCGGCTGAAGCGGGATTCAGCGGGCTTGCGCGGGCTTGAGCCGGATCCGGACAGGGGCAAAGCCAAAGGATGCACGACGGAACACGCGAGGCGGGATCTGCTGCATCCCGGGAAGCAACTTCGGGGGTAGCAGAGAGCCGCATGGCCAGGAGGCCAGCACGCACGGTGGCCACGAGAGGCTGGAGTTAGGTCGGGCGTGTCCCCCTACAGGCGGATCTGGGGCGGCAGTACAAAATACTTCAAAGATGCACAAGAACATGTCACAAGCTGTCAGAAAATCGTCCCCTGACTATGTTTGGACCATTCTTGGATATTCCTCCTGTCGAGGGACAGGCCCGACGCAAGGCTCTCGGAAGCAGCACGGTGCCAGCCGGCCAGGCTCGAGAGAGCCCCGTCGCCATCTCCGCGGGCGCGGGGGCGCCGCCGGTGCGCTGCTCCCTGACAGATCCCGGGTGCGGAGCAGGTGGGGGCAGACGGAGAGAGGGCCGCGGGCACCAGAGGTCTGGAGCACCACTGCCCCGCTGCGCGTCTGGAGCACGCTGAAAGCATCTGATCGCAAGATGGCCCCCTTCTCTTTCGGATGGAGCCCCTTGCAGATCTCACTCCAACGGTCTGGACTTTGCTTGTCACGACGCCGGCCTGGACCAAGCTCTCCAAGCTTGGCGAGACGAGTCCAAGGCAGGTGGGGGCAGACAGGGAAAGGGCCGCAGGCACCAGAGGTCTTGAGCCACAATTGAAGGGGCCCAGGGACACACAGATAAATGCACACAGATAGCAGGATTCCCCACATTTTTCCAGATCTTCTGGGTTTTCGTCTTACCCCCCACGTCCCATATTTTCGCATATGTTCTGGGAATCGACTATGAATTGTATATGTGTTTTTTTCCTCCTGAACAGTGGCTACGGAGGAGAAGGAGGAGTGACAGTACCCCTGGGAGGCGACGCATGTCCAAGCGCCCGACTCAGCCGAGATGATTTGGCGCCCCACGAGCGGCGCAAGAGAAGATCAGCGCCAAGTGACGTCACGGGCAGCACTAAACATGGACGCTATCGCGTCGGGCGTCGGGTGGGCAGCTTGCTCCATCTTGTTGTAGATGTTAAAAGCGAGTGTGACACGCTGGAGGAGGTTGAGAGAGGAGAAGAGGAGGAGGAGGAGGAGGAGGAGGAGGAGGAGGACCAGCGTAAATCCAAGACTCATCAGCGATGTTGGAATACACCCTCTCTCCAAGCTCCCTCTTCAGAGGCCCCTACAAGGATTCACTTCCTCTGAGGAGAAGTGTCCTGTTGGGAGACATCTGTGTGAAAACTCTGAAGCGTGCCAAAACACCATTCTCGAGATTTCAACGCCACGAGTCAACCGGACTGCTGCGTCTCGACGACCCTGAATCGCATCATAACGCCGTTCATGGAAGTTCCACACCGCGAATCAACGTAACTGTTGCGCCCTGACAATCCTGAATCGCTCAATCTCTGGAAGGTTAACTATGAACATCTGCGAAACTCTTGTTCTAATAAACGTGCGCGGAGCTAGAGAGAGCCACATTCTGAGAAAGAGCCGGCCGCCCTCGATCCGTGAAACTGCTCAGATATTGTAATGCGAATGCGCGCGGCGCGAAGGCGAGAGCCACATCTTGCAAACGAGCCGCCCTCAATATGTGAAACTCTTCCGAGCGTCTAGAACGGATGTGCGCGGCGCTAGCGCGGCAACCACATGTTGGCAGAAAAAAACGCCCCAAATCCGCCAAGCTCTCGCAATCCGTCCATGAGTGCGCGCGGCGCAAAGGCGACCACAGTTTGAAAATCCAAGGAACCCTTGCAGACGTGGAGCACGAACGCGCGCGGCGCTGTAGCGAGAGCCACACTTCGGAGGAGTGCCAACCCTCCATCTGTGAAACTGCTGCCAGCTTCGTGACTGAAAGCTCATAAATGGCAAGGAGGTCTCAAAGGGAAACGCCCAGCCCGCCCTTCCGACTGGCCTCGGGGTGCGACTGGGAGGAATTCTGTCGGAAAAGGAGTGGAGGGACAAGGGAGGAGGAAGGAGGAAGGAGGGAGGAAGGAGGAGGGAGGAAGGACGAGGGAGGAGGGAGGAGGGAGGGAGGGGAGGGAGGGAGGGGAGGGAGGAAGAGGGAGGAGGGAGGGAGGGGAGGGAGGGAGGACGGAGGGGAGGGAGGAGGGGAGGGAGAGAGGGGAGGGAGGGAGGGAGGGAGGGAGGGAGGGAGAAAGAGGAGCAGCCTGCTCCGCCTCCGGCTCGGCCCCCTGGACGGCGTCCTCGGCGGCCGCGGGGGGCGGCTCCCAGGAGGTCTGGTTGCTGGGCAGGTGCCAGAAATAATAAGCCTTGCGCTCCTCGGGGAAGCTCCGTCGCCACCGCTGCAGCCTGCCGTCGTCGCTGGCGCCGGCGGCGGCGCAGTCCCCATCGCCGTGGTTGGCGCCGTCATCGCCGCCGTCCGTCGGCGTCGTCGTGGGTGGCGTCGTCGCTGTCGCCGCGGGCGTTGTCGCCGCCGCCGCCGCTGTCATCGCCGTCGCCGGCGTCGGGATAAAACCCTCATCGGCGTCATCATTACCGTCGTCGCCGTGGTCGTCGCCATCGTCGCCAGCGCCGCCATCGTCGTCATGGTCATCGTCGCCACTGTCGTCATAGTAATCCTCTGCCTCTAAGGAAGAGGGTGAGAAAGGGACTCTCCAATGCTCTTCCTCCTCCACCTCTTCCTCACCCTCCTCATGCTAGTGGCACGTTTTTGCTCACAGCAGTCGTTAGGTGAAACTCTGCCGAGACCAACCTTACTCCTGACCCTCATGACCATCGTGACTCGCATCCATCCTCCTCCTTCTCCTCCTACCCCCTCCTCCTCCTCCTCCTCCTCCTCCTCCTCCTCCTCATCATCATCATCATCATCATCATCATCATCGTCATCATCGTCATCATCCTCACCACCATCATCCTCATCCTCATCAGCAGTATTACAACAATCAGCATAATCATCAGCAGCAGCAGCATCACCCTCATCATCATCACCATCATCACCATCATCATCAGCAGCATCACCAGCAGCAGCATCACCATCATCGTCATATCAGCATCCTCGTCATCCTCATCATCCTCATCATCCTCATCATCCTCCTCCTCCTCCTCCTCCTCCTCATCATCATCATCATCATCATTATCATCATGATCATCAGCATCCCGCAGCCATTCTGGCTCCAGGGAGCCAGCCGTCGGGAGGCCCTCGCTGGCGCGCGCTCCTCCGCGGGCTCGCGGACGTGCGCTGTGGCGGCGTCGCACCCTGGCGCGGAGGCTCCAGCGCGGGCCTGGGGGGCCGAGGTGGACCTCGCGCGGCCTCGAGCTGCCGCCCAAGGCACGGCCCTGTCCTAGCCGCCCCTTCCCGCCCACTTTGGGGGGCGGATGTCCATTCCCCGGCGGGCTCCCTCGGAAGATCCTCCCCCCCTTCTGGCAGAGACGTACGCCGTCCACTCGTTTGCAAATTGCGAGGCAGATCCTAGCGGAGGCGCGACTCTTCAGTAAAGTGTAAGGAAGCGTCCGGTGGGAGCCGTTGCTGCTGTTGTTAACGTTGTCGTCGCTGTTGTTGGTGGTGGTGTTGGTGGTGTTGGTGTTGGTGTTGGTGTTGGTGGTGGCGTTGTTGTTGCTGCTGTTGTTGTTGGCGTTGATATTGTTGCTGTTGCTGGTGTTGGTTTGGGTGATGTTGATGCTGCTGGTGTAACTGCGGTTGGTGTTGGTGGTGTTGCTGTTGTTGTGGTGTTGTTGTTGGTGATGTGGTGGTGGTTGTTGTTGCTGCTGGTATTGCTAATGTTGTTGGTGGTGTTGCTAGTGTTGTTGCTGTAAGTGTTCTTGGTGGTGTTGCAGTTCGGGGGCAAAGAAGGCAGTTTGGAAGCCCAAGGCTGCCCCTGGTACAGAACAAGGGTTGGGCTACAGGAGGGGTACTTCAAGTGAAAACCAGAGATCCCGGCGAAAGACCCAAACACAAGCAGGGGTGAGCGCCGCGTTGTGGCACCGTTGTCCGTGGAGCTCCCTGTGGGTCCACGGACCGTGCCAGGGGGTGCGCCGACATGGGGCGGCACCTCCGTGCGAACCCCGCCACGGGGGCCCTCGGTGGAGCTCCCTGCAGGGCCACGAGCCGTGCTACGGCTGCGCCACAGTGAGGCGGAGCCGCCGTGTGGACCCTGCATGCTGGGGCCTGCGGTGGCGCTCCCGTCGGGGCTGGCGCCAAAATGGGGTGGCGCTGCCATGTGGACGCCTTTGGCTGATCTCCCTACGGGGCCACGAACCGCGTGAGGGGAGCACCAAACTGGGGCGGCGCCGCAATGTAGACCATGCCACTGAGGCCTTCGGTGGAGCTTCCTAGAACCGTGTGCGGGGGCGGCAAAGTGGGGCGGCGCCGCCATGTAAACCCTGCCGCTGAGTCCTTCGGTGAAGCTCCCTGTGAGGCCACGAACCGTGTGAGGGGTGCGCCAAGATGGGGATGCGCCGCCATGCAAACCCTGCTACTGGGGCCATCGGTGGAGCTCCCGGTGTGGCCACGAACCGTGTGAGGGGTGCACCAGAATGGGTCGGCGCCGCCATGCGGACACTGCCGCTGGGGCCTTCGGTGGAGCCCCCGATGGGGCCACCGACCGTGTGAGTGTGTCGAATCGGGTGCGGGTACGCATGATGGCGATGAGATGAGATGAGGCAGGAGCAGGGATGGGAGGGAGGAGGGGGAGGAGGAAGGAGGGAAGGAACGCGGGGCGCTGTCTCTCCAAAACGAGGACCCAACACCACAGGATGGTTGGGACGTGTGCCTGAGACGTCAGAACATCGCATCCCAAACAACGCCACCACCAGAACCTGCAAACGCCGCCGCGGCCATGGGGCCTGCCAGTGCCGCGGGGAGGGCGGCTCCTCGCACCAGAGCGCGCTCCAGTCCGCCGGCAGGCGCGGCGGGCGGGGGGGCGGCGGTGCGCTCGGGGGCGCGCTCTTCGGGTCCTGCCGCGGCCGCGCCGCGCCGCAGCCGCCGCCGCCGCCGCCGCACGCCGCCGCCGCCGCCGCCGCCGGACGACGACGACGACGACGACGACGACGACGACGACGACGACGACGACGACGACGACGACGACGACGACGGACCACGACGACGACGACGGACCACGACGACGGACCACGACGACGACGACGACGACGACGACGACGACGACGACGACGACGACCACGACGGCGGCGGTGGGGGCAACGAAAGGGAGGGGGAAGGAAGGAGAAGGGACGAAACATGAGGAGGATGAGGGACGGAACGCTGGGGATAACGACTCCACGCGCAAGCCGTGCACATGATTCTCACCCCGCCCGCCTATGTCGAAACAGGTAACCGCATGCCGATGAGAATAAAGTACCTCCCCCCTTAAGTCGTTAGAGTTTTTTATCGTCGACCAATAAGAGTTTGGTCGGGGGCGCGGGGGCGCGGAGGCCGAACTTCATTATCACGGGAAAAGTTCGCCATCGAAGTTACTTCCTTCTTATGTTGAGATAACAACATCAAGCGAAGCGAACACGTTGTTTCAGGATGTCTCAAGCGAAACCAATGTCCTTCTGTCTCTTTGTAATTATTGATGTCTCTCTTTCTTTCTTTCTATGTCTCTCTTTCTCTCTCTCTCTCTGTCTCTCTATCTCTTTCTCCTTCCTGGCCTCTCTGTCTCTCTCTCTCTCTCTCTGTCTCTCTATCTCTTTCTCCTCCTCCTCCCCCTGGCGCCCTGAACTTGTTTATCGCTGGGGTTGATTATCCAGGGAAAACGAGGCACGTGAGCTGCCCTACACGAGCACTTACAAATCTTAATTTTAATAAAGCGCTTGTAAATAAAATTTACTACATTTGAATCTTCAGATTTGTTGTTTTATCCTCCTTTCCTCTTCTCTTTATCCTTTTCATTTATTATTCTACTTTTCTTTTTAAATATATCTTATCTCTTTAAGTCCTTCCTTTCTTTTTCTTTATGGTGTATCTCTCGTTCTCTCTCTCTCTCTATTTCTCTCTCTCTCTCTCTCTCTCTCCATGCCCCCCCCCCCTCTGAACTTGTTTATCCCTGGGGTTGATTATCCATGGAAAATGAAGCACATGAGCTACCTACACGAGCACTTTAAAAACATAATTGTCATAAAGCGCTTGTAAATAAAATCTAATACATTTCTCAAGTTGTCCTTCTCTTTCTCCTCCTCCTCTGTTTTCTTTTCTGTTTGATGGTGTTCCTGTTTCTTGTTCATTTCTTATTGTTTCTTTTTATTTTTTGTTTTTGTATATCGCTTTCTCCATTCCTCCGCCCGCCTGAACTTTATTATCGCCGCGGTTGATTATCCAGGGACACCGAGGCGAATGAGCTATTCCGAGGATGTCTCAAGCGAAACAAGCATATACTCGAGGATGTCTCAAGCGAAACAAGCATATACTGAAGGATGTCTCAAGCGAAACGATACGTTTCTTAAGCGAACTAAGCAATAGTTTGACGGTGTCTCAAGCGAAACAAGCAATAGTTTGTGGATGTCTCAAGCGAAACAAGGGATTTGTCGAGGATGTCTCCAGCGAGATAAGCCATTGTTGAGGATATTTCTATGAAGACTAAACGCCAAGGATGTCTCAAAACGTGCTCGGCTTGATCTCCTCTTGATCATCTCTTACTTCGAGATTATGCTGAGGTCTGGTGGGCTACTTTGGTTATCTCCCCCTGAACCCCGAACTTTATTATCCCCTAGTGTTTATTCTCGAAGGTATTCGGTTACACGCGTCTGACCTCTGCGGAAAGCACCCTTCTTCCATGAGTCGGATTGCGCATTGTCCAGAGATCCCATGGACATTGCGGGGGTGGGGCAGGAAGGCAAGCTGGTGACTGCTCGCGACACCGCAGCTCAAGAACGCGACCACCGCATAGTCAGAGCGGTCGGTCGCCAAAGGAGTGCAAAACTGAGCAAGCTCGTTGCCAGCCCCACTTCTCGAAACAATCTGCCCATGGCCGCCAAATCCAAGGAAACAACCGCGACAGAAGAGCCCGTGGAAGCGGGGCAAGGCTCATGGCATCGCTGGCACAGACGGCACCCCTTGGGCCCGACTATCTCGTGGCCAAGCTTTGGGCACACTACGGCGAGCTCGCTGGCCTTGGTGGGCTTGGCCCCAAGGCGCAACTCCATGGTGCCCCTGCGAATTAACGGCAGCAGTAGATCACGCGAATTAATGACCGCACACCTCAACTACTCGACAAGACCTTGCGAAAACCGCCGCCGCTTCTGCGACCAACCAGAAGCGCAAAATTCAGGCGCGGCAAACTTGTCCCCCCCTCCTCCTCCGCCTCATCCTCCTCCTCCTCCTCCTCCTCCTCCTCCTCCTCTCCTCCTCCTCCTCCTCCTCCTCCTCCTCCTCCTCCTCCTTCTCCTTCTCCTCCTCCTCCTCCTCCCTCCGACCCTGAACCAGGAGGAAAGGGATGGAAGCACGAGGAAGAAGGAGGGCGCAGGGCGGGAGAAGGGCGCGGAGCGTATGGATGGGGTGAGAGAGGGGAGGGAGGAGCACCAGGAACAGGGCGATGGAGGGTAGAACTATTCCTAGACCAATGGCAGCAAGAGACTGCAACCCCTCCTCGGCCTTCCGTCAAGTTACTCCTGCATCATTATTATCGCCCCCCCTTCTTCCGCCCCGCTGTGCGACTACCACTAACACTTCTACAACAGATTGGGACTGCTGAAACTGTCTTTTCCTCTCGTCCTCCTCCTCCTCATAAGTATTTTCGTTCGGCTCCCAGTCGTCCAGCGGTTCCTCCGTCACCTCGACCACGGCAACGTCCTGGGAGAGAGGTGCAGAGTCACACACTCAATGGAAACAGCCGTCCGGGAGAAGCAGGAGAGGAGATGGAATGCATACACCCTGCGAAATGCTTAAGAAATCATGGGTTAAGAAATTCATAGTCTCAGAACTTGAATAAAAACCCAACATTTTTTATCAAAATCTCAGGATTTACATTGAAACATTAAGAATAATCGAGACTCTGGCCGAAAACTTGGGTTTTCGTAAGCATCGCCTAAGGTGTACTACAAAAAAGAGTGGACTATTAAATATAGAAGGTACCACTTACATGAGTGAGCCAGCGTGGGCCCCGAACAGCGCGTTTCTGGCAAGATCTGGTGTGCAACCGATGTGGGGTAACCTATGCGGTGCACGATGCAACATCATATATTTGCGAAGCCATCTACGAGGTCACTATGTGTGGCGCGATCCATGTTGTACAACCTGGTGTGTGCCATACGTGCTGTGCGATCTGTGCTTCTTGTACAATATATGTTGACTACCTACCAGACCACCCCAACCCAACCCGAAGACCCGAATTTGACCCGAATTTCGGGTTGGGGGGGGTACGGATACCATGTGTTTTCTCAACGTTCCCCGACCCCCCCCCACTGGAAATCGAGGATAAATTTGGGCCTTCGGGTTGGGTTGGGGTGGCTTGGTGGGTGGTGATATGTGGTGCAACGTATGCTGGGAAATCTACGCCGTGCCATCTATTCCGTGCAAGATCTGCGAGGCGGCCACGGGCGGCAACGGCGACGACGTAGCCGGCAGACCAAGGTCAGATCAAGACGACGGGCGGCGACGAGGCGGCGGCAGCGACAACGCGGCCGCCAGACAGACGGTCAGGCCCAGACGATGGGCGGAGACGAGGCGGCGACGGGGCGGCGACGGCGACAGCAGAGCCACCAGACCGACAGCGACCCGCCCTGCGACCCACCCGCGACCGAATCGCGACCCACCCGCGACCCACATTTCTTCACGAATAATCAGCGCCTGCGGCCCGGCAGGCTCGCTGTGAAACAAACACCCCCACACGCACAACAACAAAAAACAAAAAAAAAAAAAACAACAACAGCAGCAACAACAACAATCACAACAACAACAACAACAACAACAACAACAACAACAACCACAGCCACAGCCACAACCACAACCACAACCACAACCACAACCACAACCACAACCACAACCACAACCACAACCACAACCACCACAACAACAACAACAACAACAGCAGCAGCAACAACAACAACAACGCCGACGACGACGACGACGACGACGACGACGCCTGCGGCGGGCCAAATTTACCTTCGTGCCTCGCGGACTGCCGACAGCCCCCTTGTCCCATCGCTCTCATCCGCAACTGCGGGGGGGGCTATGGTACGCAGACGTGCGCACATCCATGGACAAGTTTGGAAGGGGGGGGCGCAGGGGCGGGGCAGAAGGCCTCGCGCGCTGGACGGCCCCTGTACGCGAGGAAAGCTCTGCGTCCAGGCGGATCTATTTTCCCCTGCCCCACCTTGGGCTGCAGCGCGACACGATCATGGAGACGCGCGGTATGCACAAGAGGCCTGCAAGAGCAACAGACCGGCCAGCAACGATTGCACTGAGGATAGACCAGAGATGCGAGGACGACGTGATGCCCCTGGAGAGCTGCCCATCCTTTGGATCCAGTTTGTAGAGGCCTCCTCGATGGGGTCCGAGTAGATGGGGTCGAAGGATCACGCCGCATCGCCGATGCATCGCCGATGCATCGGCGATGCATCGGCGACGTCGGCGATGCATCGGCGACGCCGGCGGGGGGAAGCACGGTCTCCACACCGACCCGCATCGTGGACACGTCGGAGATGCGGCGCGATCCTCCGACACCATCTACTCGGAACTAGATCATATCCTAGGAGGCCCAGAGTTTGACAGCACCCCAGGCTCGGCTACACGCAAGATCGACCCCAGGCAAGAAGAACGCTCGGTGCGCGGCTCGGCCGGCGGCGCTGGGGTGGCCACACCCAAGCGCGCAAGCCGAGGCTATCGCGTCGCGCTCGCAAGAGTGACCCCAGGCAAGCAGAACGTGCGGTGCGCGGCTTGGCCGGCGGCGCTGGGGCGGCCCAACCCGAGCGCACAGGCCGAGGCGATCGCATCGCGCCCGGGGGTCGGAGGACCCCGGTGG